CCCGCAGGCCTCCGGGCGGTGAGGGGTGGGGGGGAGGCCGCGGGGCCTTGGCTTTGGGGGCGGCCCGGCAGGGTCTCTTCCTCTAGCAGCGTGGCTCACCAACCTCCCCAAAGCTGAAAAATCCGGCGTCGCTCTGGTGCCTGCCGGCGAGCCGCTCCCCCGTCCCTTGAGGAGCGCCCTCGCCTTCGCCGGGTAGGCTCGTTAAAGCTTTGGGAGGCAGCCCCAAGGCCGCGGGACCTCCTCCTGGTGGCCTGTTTTCTCTGTCCTCGTCGAGGAAACGTGAGCGTTAATCTTTTCGGTAGTCCTGGAATTGCGTTTCCTCTGCGAAGGTGAGTTTGACTCATCGCAGTTTTGCTGTCCGGGGAGAGGAAGCAGCCGCAGTCAGCAAAAGGTGGTGTCCATTTCCCCTTTCCGCTGGCGCGAAGGAACAGGCATTACCCTGGTTTGCACTGTTGTACTTGAAGTCATACTTCTTCTAAAACAGCCCTTTCGTTTAGGGTCAGCTAAGAGCGGTGCGTGCTAGCGGTGGTTTGGCGCTTAGTTGGCTTTAGGCTTCTGATAGCTGTGTTGTTTCCTGGTAAATGCCAAGCACACTCAGAACTGGGAAGAAAAGAGTAATACACTGCAAGCTGGCTAAAGAGCCTAAGCCTTTCTGCTAATTGCCTGACTCTGTCAAGCAGAAACTCATGGAAAAATGAGTTTTACTTAAATGCAAGAGATGGTCATATATTTCTAACAGCCAAGCTTGGTTTCTAGGTATTCATCTTAATGCTTGATATAGTTGTATTCAAAATTGGAGCCTATAAAGAATGACTGGCTGACTTCCGTTCAAAGTTGTGTTGGAAAGAAAAAATGTGACCTCATGGGTATTTTTTCCTGTGAATTGTGAAGACTTCAAATATCTAATGCTTTAACATTTTTTTTGCAGATTAATAAGCTTGCTGGAGTATTGTTATGGAGCTAGAATGGGAGTGAAAGGAGTTTTAATTGTTCACTTCCAATTATCTATTTTGAAGATAGAAGCATGGGGGCCTTGGTTTTGAAATTTTAGGCATTCAGCTGGTCATAAGAAACAGGAGTTAATATCAGTGTTTGTTTACACATTTGTTAGCTTTTTTCAAGCAGAGTATTCCCTCTTTTCTAACAGTAATAATGTAAAGATTGAAGTTCAAAATGTCTTGTTCTCATTTTGTTTTAGCTTTTTCCTACAAATTACTTGAAATTAGTTCGTGAATTTTAATAAATATTTTGATTGTAATCTATCACTGGGATTCTCTAGCTTTTCTTTTGATTGTCTAATGCTCCAGCTTGAACTAGGACTGCAAGAGTGCAATATGCTTATGCAAGTAAAATATACTTTGTTTAGCATTATACGTTGTCAGTATAAAAGGTCATGTTTTTCTCTCTTCTGTAATCTAAGACTCTTACAACTATTCATGTGATGCTTATTTTTAAAATTTTGACATTTTCTCCAGGTTTAAGTTTATTTTATCGTACAAGTTCCCCACAGCCATAATGAGGCTAGTAATTCTTGAAGACTATGATCAGGCTAGTGAATGGGCAGCCAAATACATCTGTAATCGTATTATCCAGTTCAAGCCAAGTCAAGGAAGATATTTCACTCTTGGTCTACCAACAGGCAAGTTTTATTCAAAACCTACATAAATGACTAAACCTAGAACTATGTTTGTGTCATTGCTAACAGATATAGTAATTAAAAGAACACAGATAACTTTTTGGTAATATTTCCAACATATTTCTATTTAAACATGGATTTGATTTATGTAAGAAGCTGTGATAAAGTTTGAGAAGCTGAGAAAAAACAGATGTATTTCTATTTAAACATGGATTTGTGAAGTTGTGATAAAGTTTGAGAAGCTGAGAAAAAACAGATTTGTTCTATGTTGAAAAGCATTGTAGCAAAATCTGATTATGAAGAGACTTAAATACACTGAAAATGTTGTGCAGAAACACACAACAGTAGAAAAACTTTATTTAACAGGGAGTACACCTTTGGGATGCTACAAAAAGCTGATAGAATATCACAGGAATGGTGACCTCTCTTTCAAATATGTAAAGACTTTCAACATGGATGAATATGTAGGTAAGATGTGCTAATTGTTTGAGAACATATTGTGTTGATAACTTTTTTCCTTTATGAAAACTGTTAAATGCTTGACAGAAGTACAAACATACAAGACTGGTCCTGTGCTTTAAGTTAGACTGATGTATGTGGGGTTATTTTAAGCATTTTTCTCTATTTCTTTATCCACAAAAATGCAAATAATAAACTGGTCCAGGTGGATCCTGGGCTAAATTCAGTCCTTGTAAATTACTTTACAGCACTTCTGTAGAAAGTATGCTGTTATGTAGTATTGTGACTGCATTTCTTCTAAAGAATTTACACTTGCATAAGATGTATGCAAAGGCAATGTAAACGATTTCCTATTGGCATGCACCAGGTAAATGTTTCTTCTCAGTATAATTTCAAATGCTGCTTTCTCTGACTTCTTACTTAAGCTTGTCTTGCATGCCCTACATTGGTTACACATAGCCTAGAATTAAGGCTGTTTGGTGAAATCTTCTAATATGTTAATTTCATTCTAAATGATTTCAGGGCTTCCTAGAAATCATCCAGAGAGCTATCATTCCTATATGTGGAATAACTTCTTTAAACATATTGACATAGATCCAAATAATGCTCATATCCTTGATGGAAACGCTCCAGACTTACAGGCGGAATGTGATGCATTTGAAAAGAAAATTGAAGAAGCAGGGGGGATTGATCTGTTTGTTGGAGGTATGAGGAACTGCTCTGTGGTTAGCTATGATTCCAAGAAATACACTGACTCTTTAATCACTATTTTCATAACTTTGCTAAACCCACTGTTTTCAGTTACGGTGTAAGAAAGTTCTGTGACTAACAAACAATCAGTATGAATACCAAATCAGAATGGTTGGTGTCCAGTTTGTAATAACTTAATTTCAAGTACGTGTTGAATGCTTTTTATTGACAATGGGGAACCGAAAGGAAAGAATGAGTCCTAAAACTTCTTTATTCATTTACAATGTTTGAGGATATTTGTTGACTCACAGGTCTGGAATGATTTACTTTTCTTAACTTTGAAAAGGCATTGGTCCAGATGGCCACATTGCATTCAATGAACCCGGATCAAGTTTGTCTTCAAGAACAAGATTAAAGACTTTAGCAATGGACACCATTTTGGCAAATGCTAAATACTTTGATGGAGACTTATCTAAAGTACCAACTATGGCGCTAACAGTTGGTGTGGGTACAGTGATGGATGCTAGAGAAGTAAGAACTCATTTAGTTCTAGTTGCATGTGTCTGTTTTCAAGACTAGTTGGTATTGATACTGGAATTGAAAGTAAAGAGACCTTTGTTTTGCAGGTGATGATTCTTATAACAGGTGCACATAAGGCTTTTGCACTGTACAAAGCCATTGAAGAAGGAGTCAACCATATGTGGACGGTTTCTGCTTTCCAGCAACACCCTCGTACTATCTTCGTGTGTGATGAAGATGCTACTTTAGAACTAAGAGTTAAAACTGTGAAGTACTTTAAAGGTGAGCATTGAATCAGAGGTTACATGTATTTTTAAAAAAACCCACGTTTTAAATTATATTGATTTAAGTCTGAGCCTTCCACACTTTACAGTAGCTAATGTGTAGTGTTATACATTTAAAATATTACATGTTAACTTATTCCTTGTGAGTGGAAAAATGCCAGGAGGCATAACTTGTGTTCCTTACCTTCCTGACAAATCTACTTTTGAAAAATATTTCCTTTGCTTCCAGTTTGAAATGATAGTTTAGTAATCTTCAACTGTATGTAAAACAGCAGCAGTTCCAAAATACTGGTCTTAAATATACTGGAAAGTTTCACTTAAAATTCGATACATTTATTAATCCTGATATATTTCCATGCTGCTTTTGCTATGTGCTGTAATGTGCTGTCTAACTTGAAAAGTGCAATACAGACTTTGAAGCCATCTGAGGACACTTATTGTACAGTGCAATTAGCATAACAATCTATACTGACTTTTAATACATTGCAGCCTTTTACTGTGCTTTTGATATTTGTAGTAGGTATTATATTGAGGCAAGCTTAAACTTGGATGATAGTCATTGAAAGTTCCTAGATGTGAATTCCTTTTCACTGAGACTGTAGGAGCTGAGAAAAATAGTTTTCTTCTCACTATATTAGCACAGCAAATGCAATTGTGTAGATCACTCTCCTTTCTCACTAGCATGGATACTTGTAGTAGTTGAGGCATCTGAGAGCAAGATTGTAACTTAGGAAATTATTTTTTAGAGCATTGTATCACCAGTGCCCATGTATGTATTAGATTGCAATTCTGGCATTAATGTGATTTTTATCCTGACGCTATTTGTGGCACAATGTTCATTCTGGATTTTTTTTCCAGTGTGCTGTTCTTTGCTGTGTAGTGTGTGTGTGTGTTAGTCTTTGCCTGTGTCACACTGCTAGATAGTACTTTGTTGTTTTCACAGCTTGGATAAATTTTAAACATTATCCTGTTTCACATAAACAAAAGCTTTGCTTGTGGAAAGATATAAACTTAATGTAGAATTACTAGGTATGAATGACACTGAACATTGCTTTAAAAAAATCAAGGGCTACAGTATATGAATGTGTGCTATTGTGTCGCACTGTATTTAATTACCCTGTAATACAAAGCAATAGAATTCTTAAAAAGATTGCTTTCTTTAAACTTGCTTAATTTTACTTACTCTCAAATTGGTGAGATTTTCCCCTTTTAAGATGGAAGTGAAATCAGTGTGGGTCAAACTTGGAATTATTTCTGAATCTTGATCTACAGGTCAGACTCCTTAGGAAGCTAGGTAGTTCTTAATGACTGCTATTTATGGCAGCTATTTACTGTGATTTTTCACCATTTAAAAAAAAAATCTCAAGGTACTACATGAAACTTCAAATCTTTTTGATAATCAGGTACCACAGTGGCTGGTAACTAGAATAACTCTAATTCCACCTTTTTCTAACTTTCTGAAAACCTATTAGAGGCTAAAATTATCAAGTGTACTTAAATGCTCTTACTGGAAAAGGAGATGGTAATTTTTGTGCAGAATGAAGCAGAAAATGAATTTTGGATTTACCAAGTAGTCTGCAGATAAGTTAATTCAGGATAATTTTTCGATACTTGTGCATGCTTTTCTTAAAACTGTATGCAGAAATCTGTTTATTGAAAGCATACTTGAATATGCAGTGAGACTTTCCTTTGAAATAATTGTTTTGACATCTGTCAAGTAAGGACTCTGCATATCTTTAAAAAAGCTTTTGTTTCTAACTGTTTTTCCTGAAACAATTTCACAGGATTTAAATATCCTTCATGAAATATGGCAGAGGCAATACTTTGTAAGCATTTTTCATGCCTCTAGGAAGTGGGTAATTATCTCCTTTTCATTTCCCTCTTTTAGAAAACACTGGTAGGAAGTGGAATGCTTTAAAGTTCAAAACATGGTTCTAGTTTGAGTAGTGTGTGCAGCTGTTACTCTTTCAGTACAAATGGCTTTTGTATCAACTATATTTAATATCTTCTCACTTACTGTTAAACTCCTAAAAAATATTACTGACTTGATCTTTCCCATGTACATTAACCCAATAGTTATCCTTCATGAAATCTAAGAAACTGTTTTCTTTCATTATGTTGCCTTCTAAGGTGGGTTTCGGGGTTTGGGGTTTTTTTTGCACAAATATCTGAAGCTCTGTCATTACCTCTAGAGTCAAAATGAGCTGGGTTCTTGAGTCAGCTATAGGTGTTGGCTGTTTAGTATGGCTGAATGTATCACTAATTGGAGAAGGAAATACTAACATCTGCATTTTATATTAAATAATCACACACTGATTAGAAATAGATGCTACATAAAATGCCTTTTGTTGTGGTCGCCTACAGTAACGACCTCAGATTGTATAGTTACTCAAATTTCATGTTGCTGTAGTGACACTGCCACCAGATGCTTCATGTAGCAAAGGTATTTGAATGTTCTTTGCCATAGATAATCACTAAAATGTGCACTACTGTCAGACTACTTTAATGGTTTTAAGAAAAATTCTCACTTTTAATGTTGTATATTACTTAAATATGTCATTTTAGAACTTAGTATTTAGCTTGGTGCTAAAATGGACTTTTACTTTGCAGATTGTGAATGCTGATCAGTTACTGTTACTAGTCCATAAGGTGAAATGAGGTTAAAAACATAGCAGTCACTGAATGTCAAACATGCCTAGATGTAGATAACATTTTTGCTAAGTAGTAACAAAAAAAAGCAAGCCGCACTATATTTTTTTTTTAATTGCTCTTTTCAGCACTTTCCAAAATTAAAGTATCTGAAAGGCAGGGGGGAGGAATAAAACTCCCCTAATCACAGCTATGGATGACTTGTATGTAACCAAAAAGGCCGAGCTAGAACAGAAAACAGTTAAACTACTGAGGTTCTGAATCTGCATTAACAGTCTGGATACTTGTAGTTTGGTTTTGGAGTGGTCTAGGACCACATGTACACAATTCATTGCAAGGACAGTAAATACCACAATGCTAGCACGTTCCAATTCAAGCTGTAAGTAAAAGTGGCACTATGTGTATATCTGAATCTTGTGACAAATTGTGGTAGAGGGAACTTCATGTTGCTGTTATGCAGTTTTTAATACAAAGGAAAGATGGGTGGATCTCGTGTCTTCAATTTATTTGGAAGTATTCCAGATCTGCTTCTTGACGGGTCTGTTACCAGAGAGCTGTCTTGTCCGTGCTCACTTTATACTGAAGATGTCAATAGTATTCAAGGAATATATACGCTGTCTCTAACTTCTGATTTTACACTACTTTAAATAGCCTTTGTTAGTCTCTGCAGTGAACTATTGCAAATGTGTACTTTGAAGCAAACTCCTAATAAAAATGTGGATAGAAAGATGCATTGAAAAAGTATACCTAATGTAAAGCTGGCATTGTTGCTTTCCCCCCAAGGTTTAATGCATGTGCACAATAAGCTTGTGGACCCACTGTACAGTATGAAAGAAAACTGAAAGAAGAATTGAAGAGGAACTCCATGTGGGTCAACAGCAACAGTTTTAGGTAGCAGATGAGTCTCACTGCTATGCAATACGCTGAAAACTGTTTAAAATGGGGAATCCTAGGTACTGTATTTTTTAAAAGGTCCAATATCTGTACGTTCACATTCCATCTCCATTTGCTGTGTTGTGCATTTTGCTTTAACATTGGAGCTCTGTTGTTGGCTGGTACATAACTAAGTGGAACAGAACAAGCCTGTGGGAGACTGCACATTATGTAGGGGGGGGAAAGCAGAGCACTTACTCTAGCACAGCAATGTAATGCATCTGCCTTGTGTTAGAGAAAATGGTATTTTATTTCCAGGAATTTGTCATTTTTGGCTTGATGAGTATAACTACATTTTGCATTTGTGTCTCTAGGCAGAATGGTTTTGGCCTTTGTCAATGCTATGGACTTGTAATAGTTGTACAATTTCTTCTATGAAATGTTCTGTTTACATATATCTAATGTACACCGAGCTTTTGCACTTGGTTGCCTTAAATTTATCTTAAACAGTTTTTGGGCATCTCAAGTCCTGCTGTACAATTCAGGCAAATAAAAATACAGAAACAGTGCCTAAAAATGTACCAAATTCTTGAAAGTTGTAACTTACTCCACAGATAAAAATATTAAACTTCTGCCATAGCACTTTTTCCTCTTGTATATTTCAAATTGCTTTAGGGTTTTTATATTTTTGGTAATTGAGTTTTATCCATAAGGAAAAATCTAAATGTTCCTTTCTGGAGGTACCTGTTTAACTGTACCATTGATGTTACTATTAAATGCCTGAAAAGAGGTTAATTTACAGGAGTATAATGTTTGCAAGTTTAAATGATCATGTATTAAAGTCAACTGTTAATCACACTGCAATAGTTACCTCTCATTGTATCATTATAAACATGGAGCTGTTACAAGGAATGTTATTTCCTACTTTGAATATAAGTAAAACTTAAATATAAATCTATAATTTCAAAATTGTTCTGTTTCTAATATAAATTCTGACATGAATAACTTTCAGGGAGAGGTTAGGAGGAAGTTAAGAATTTACTGGTTTAGACTTTTGGGGGGTGTGGGGGTGGAACATGGCCTTGTGGAAAAACTCTTGCTGGGAAGAGGTGCAACAAAGTATAACTTCAACAGTTTAACTTTTTACACTGGTAGATGACAAGGCACGTAGCCCTTACTGCAAACCATGTTAGTCCTGGTTTACTATTGAGAATACTGGGCACATCAGATCCTGGGGTGCATCTGTAGGGGCATTACTAACAGAGATGGAGATGCGATCATCCCATGCGGTGCTTGTCAGGCTGCACCTGTAGTGCTGTGTCCAGTTCTGGTCTCCACAATTCAAGAAAGATATGGAGAGGGTCCAAAGGAAGGCTGAAAGATGATCAAAGAGCTGGAGAACCTGCTGTAGGAGGAGTTTGGTCTTTGCTTGCTGGAGAAGAGAAGGCTCTGGGGGGACCTTCCATATTCTGGTATTTAAAGGGGAGGGGCTCTCTTTTCACAGGGAGCCACATGGAGAAAAGCAAGGGGCAACAGGTAAAAGTTGCACTGTGAAAGGTCTCATTGCAATGTCCTTTTTTTTTGGTGTTTTTTTTTTTTTTTTTTGTGTGTGTGTGTGTGTGTGTATGAGAACAATCATTGATCAGCACAACCTCCCCAGGGATGTGGTAGAGTTCCCCCCTGCTGGAGGTTTTCAAGATTGGTGTGAGAGAATCCCATCCAGGCTCACCTCTCCCAGAAAGGGTGGAGCAGATGGTGTCTCAAGGTCCCTTCACATCTGGATTTCCTATGCAGTTACAAAAGGATGGAAGAGTCTGTCTCCAGCAATGTAGGAAGCCATGCTTACAGCGTTACAGTTCTTACCAGTAGATTTAAAACAGGCTTTCAGGTTTAAAACTCAGCTTTTGCACTTGCATTTTTTGATGTGTGAAGCAATGCTGGGTGGGGAGGGAGGAGTTTAAAAGACTCTGCTTCAGGAGAATGCTGTTACGTGTAGCATGACCCACAAAATGCATGGTTAGGCTCGACATTGTTAGTCTTACAGCTAAGTAAAGACTTTGCTTTATAAAATAAACACTTGTGTTATAAAAAGTGTCAGACTAAAGTTAATCTTGAATTTAGGTTACTGTTAAAGGAATTCAAGCATGTTTTTATCTTAATGGTCATGATTCAGCTTCTGGCAAAATTGGGAATTCTGTTGAGGAAACAATAGAATTTAGGTCCAAGCATGAGTGGAAATCCGTAGCTTTTATATCCCTCTACTTCTGAAAGCTTTTTTCCCTTGCAACTCCTTATTTTAGTTCCTTATTGCAGAGCACCTTTTGGCCTTCCTCCTCTCTTGCCCACCTCACCACCTAAAGGCCTTTTTTGTGTCCTCCCAGAGCATGAGACCATTCAAAACCATTGGAACCGCTGTGAAACACAGGCGAGTTTAAATACTGGCAGGGTAGTGCCTGTACTTGCCTCTGCCTCCATCCATGAACAGCCTTCATGTTCTCCCATTAGCTGCTTCTGTTAAACTTTCTTGTAACTTATGAATTCTACTGGATGTAAGGATTCTACTCTAGGCCCTGTAAATTCATGACTTCATTATTGGTTTTACTACTACAATTTCTACCATTTCAGTCCTTGTGAGCCTCCCAATCACTTTCTTATGAAATAAATACAAATTCTTCAGTGACCGTACCTTCTAAACATCCTCAGTAGCTGACAAAAGTCACCCCTGTAAGTTACATTAAGCTTTGCCTGTTACCCTGCAGGCTGTTGTTAACACCTGAACAGCAAAGCAAGCGTTTTCAAGTCCAGGAAGTGTAAAGTTACAGGTTCTTGGGTGACAAATGGTGTCCCTCAGGGGTCTGTACTGGGACCGGTGCTGTTTAACATTTTCATCAATGACTTACTTACTTACTTAGACAGCGAGATCCAGTGCACCCTTAGCAAGTTTGTGAATGACACCAAGCTGAGTGGTGCGGTTGACACACCAGAAGGACAGGATGTCATCCATGAGGATCAACAAGGCCAAGTGCAAGGTCCTGCACCTGGGTCAGTGTAACCCCCAGTATCAGTACAGGCTGGGGGAAGAAAGGATCGAGAGCAGCCCTGCCGAGAGGGACTTGGGGCTGCTGGTGGTTGAAAAGCTGGACATGAGCCGGCAATGTGAGCTGGCAGCCCAGAAGGCCAACCGTACTCTGGGCTGCATCAGGAGA